ATCAAAATGATGGCAATCATTAAACTAAGAATAGCAAATCATGATCAAATTCAAGAGCTAATAGATTCAATGATGAGAGGCCCTGCTTGAACACTTTACATTGTCCTTAGTCACCCCTTTGAGCCTAAAGAAAAGGTAATCATCCAAATTATGAGAGCCAAGATGATTTTCTTGTGAATTTACCTACATCATGAACCGGGGGAGTGAAGAGTGATTGTGAACGGGAAATACCAATAGAAAAGGATTTTTGAGCCTTCATATCCTTCTTTTTGATAACTTAACCCAAAGCCACATAACAGCTTTTAGTTTGATCATGAATTTCCTTTAAAAAAAAAAAAAAAACAACAAAACAAAAAAAAGAAAAAAAAAAAGAGAGAAAGGGGGAAGAAAAGGGTGACTTAGTAAGCTAAATGTTTCCTTGACTTGGAAAGTTGAAGATCCAATGATGAAAGGCATTGTTTCTCTATCCCAAACAGTAACATTGTCCTTTGCTTACCCTTTTTGAGTTAGAAAAGGCAATCATCCAAGTTCAAAAAAGCCAAGATGATTTTCTTCTTGTTAACCCACATCAATGCCCGGGGTCGTGAAGAGAGAAATGTGAGGGGAATATATGAAGAAATTGATTTTGAGCCTTTATCCTTTCTTTCATATTAGCCTAACCCAAGCCATATTACAAGCTTATAAAGTCCTTATTTGAGGATTTGAAACTTTCTTTGTCAAGGAACATTAAAAAAACAAAAAAAAAAAAAAAAAAAATCCTTTCTCTAGTGAGTCCAAGTCAGCCAAAAGCTTTGTGGTTTATGATCAGTTTTCTAAACATTGAAGGTTAGTTCATGGGAAGGAGATAGATTGGATTCGTCCACCTTGGCATGGAAGTAGACATTGTCTCATATGCTAAAGATTGGATTGGTGGAGTTGCAAAGAAATAAATTCTTGAAGCAAATGCTTTATAACCTGAATGTCTTCTAACCTTGTTAAAATTGTTGCATCAAAAGTTGTACCCTTCAAAAAAGAAAAAAAATGCTTATCTCAAAATTTCATCATCCTTGAAATTTTAGTACATTCTCTCTCCATATTAGCCACATCTTAGTCTTTTCTTTTTATCCATTCATATTATCCATGCCTTGGCCTTCTTTTCCTTGTTTAGATTGGGATGTTGATTGGTTATGATGCTTTATTGCGATTA